TGGAAGGATCTTCCTTCCCCAAGCATTGGGGCGAGATCTTCTTCTCCGGACCCATCGAGCCACACACTTGGGAACGGCCCGACTCTGTCAGCTACTCAGACCCCATTTTTACCTGCCTGGACTATCGACTCTGGCCGACTCCATAACCTCTGGGTGCGCCTCCTGTGCAAGAGTTAATGCTGGTCCTAACCGGCCCTCCATCACCCCGGGCGTTTGCCACCACGGGTCCCAGCCGGGAGAACATTGGGAAATAGACTTTACCGAGGTAAAACCTACCCGAGGTAGGTATCGCTATTTACTGGTCTTCATCGACACCCATTCCGGGTGGGTCGAAGCGTTCCCTACAAAGGGAGAGACAGCCTTGATCGTTGCCCGAACCCTCCTGCATCAAATTCTACCTAGATTTGGGGTACCCCTTGCTTTGGGTTCAGATAATGACCCGGCGTTCATTGCCAAAACTTCCAAATTGGTAGCAAAAGCGCTAGGAATTGATTGGAAATTGCATTGTGTGTATAGACCACAGAGCTCAGGACAGGTAGAGAGGATGAATAGAACGTTAAAAGAAACTTTAACAAAATATACTCTTGAAGTTGGCGGTCCCTGGACAGACCTCTTTCCGTTTGCCCTCCTACGCATGCCATGTTCTCTGTATAAGAATGGTTTCACACCTTTTGAAATTATATTTGGGCAGCCGCCTCCTCTGCTACCCCACCTGACGGAGGAAACGTGCACCGAGTTGTCTAACCACAACCTGCTTGAGTCCCTGCAGGCCCTCGATCATGTCAGACATGATATTCGCCGCCAGGTTCAGTCTAGCATGGGCAGGACTAGCGAGGCGGTCGATCCTCCCCCACGCGTAAATCCGGGAGATTGGGTCTGGTTAAAGAACTTTCACCCTGTTACACTAGGTGCCTGGTGGCTAGGACCCTTCCAGGTGATCCTCTCCACTCCCACGGTGGTACGACTGGCCGAAAAACCCCACTGGATCCACGTGACGCAGATAAAGCCTGCTTCGCCAGTCCTCTCGGAAAAATGGGCGGCGCACCAAACCGAAAACCCTCTGCGGGTCAAGTTGAGAAAGGTCTCCTCCGGGCAATCTTCCTGATTCTTCTCGCCCACCCAATAGGCTGCCCCCGGCCAAACCCACACCAGCCACTCACCATGGAATGGACACTGCGAACTGATTGGCAGGCGTCCCCGCCGGTAGCAACCATTCTGACCCACATCTACGACGCCTCCCCGGAATTCCGCATAGACCTCTGCCAACTTTTTCCGCCCGGGTGGACCAACCCGGGCCTCATTTTGGCAAACGTAAANCTCACCATGGAATGGACACTGCGAACTGATTGGCAGGCGTCCCCGCCAGTAGCAACCATTCTGACCCACATCTACGACGCCTCCCCGGAATTTTGCATAGATCTCTGCCAACTCTTTCCGCCCGGGTGGACCAACCCGGGCCTCATTTCGGCGAACGTAAGGGGGGGGATACAGCTGCTTTTGGGCCATGGGTGTAGGCCTGATGCCTTAGCAGAGAAACTAGCACAGGAACAATATTATGGTTGCCCATCAGATGGGCGCCCCGCATGCGGTGGCGCGCCCAAATTTTACTGTGCCCGGTGGGGCTGCGAAACTTTCGCTACCTGGTTGGAAGGCAAAAATAAGGATTCTTGGCTCGCGGTACGAAGGATGCATGCCAGTCAAGCAAGGAGCGGAAGACGTAACCCCATGAGCATCAGGGTAAAACAGGGCAGGGAGGATTCTTGGATAAAAGGCAAAACATGGGGACTGCACTTAAACCTGTACGGGCCCGATCCAGGCGTACTTTTCACGGTGCAGAAACGGGTTATCGCAAGACCCTGGGGCCCGGTGGGACCTAACCGGGTCCTTCCCTGCCCTCAGATCCCGGCTCAGCGCATCCCTGATGCTCACACACAGCGGGCCCCGGACCGGGCCGCTGGCCGACCCTCATCCAGCCGCTCATTTACACTAGTATCTGCAGTTTTTGAAGTCCTTAACAGGACCAATCCAAATATTACCAAAACCTGTTGGTTATGCCTGAGTCCACAGCCTTTTTACACAGGAGTAGGAGTGAATGTGTCCTTTCCCACCCTTTTTAAGATCTCCTACTCGGAAAACTACGGGAGCGCCTGCCCGTGGGGGCTCCACCCCTCTATAACGTTAGAGGAATTCTCAGGTCAAGGGACCTGCGTTATGGGTCCAAATGGACCCCATAAGGATCCACGATGTGCGGCTACCTTACTGCTTAGCCCCACAGCACGCCCTTACCTCCTAGCAGCCCCAAACGGGACTCTTTTTGCCTGCCGATCAGGCCTCACCCCGTGCATTTTCTCCACCCTTCTCTTAAAACCCAACGGTTCTGCAGCCACGCCGGCACCTCAGTCGGATCTTTGTATTCTTACTCTCGTGCTCCCAAAGGTTTTTCTTGCCAACGGAGAAATGACCCCCGGGGCCGCTCCCACAAATTCTCGCGTCCGGCGCGCTATGCCCCTCCTCGCTCCTCTTTTAACCGGACTGGGCATCGCAGGCTCAGCAGCAGTCGGGGCTGGCACCTGGATGAAAGGCAGCCAAGATATATTCCACCTCTCTGAACAAGTTGATAAAGACTTGCAGGAGCTACATGGCTCCATTAAATTCTTGGAACGATCCCTTGACTCTCTCGTGGAGGTAGCCCTCCAAAATAGGAGGAGACTAGATTTACTTTTGCTGAAACAGGGCGGCCTATGTGCTGCCTTGGATGAAAAATGTTGCTTTTATGTAAATCATTCAGGTGTCATCCGCAACAGTCTAGACCTAGTAAAAGCTCACCTAAAGGACCGAGAAAGGCACCGCCAGGAAGATTCCAACTGGTATCAGCGCCTTTTCAACTGGTCCCCCTGGCTGACCAGCTTACTCTCGTCCCTTGTTGGACCAATTTTGGGGTTACTGTTTTTCCTCATCTTCGGGCCCCTGGTGCTCAGTTGGATCACCCGCCTTGTCCAGCAGTGTATGAATGCCACAAAAGTATTGGCATTTCACGTCAGATCCCATCTGAGGCACGATAATGTTTATAAACTCCACCCACTAACGGTCCGCGGACTCGATGATTCGACTCCCCAAAAGAGCAGTGGGGAATGTTGTAACCCCCCTCACGATCAGGCATGATCATACACGTAGCCAGGGCACAGCTCATCACGAGT